GTGGGGGTGGATGAGAAAAATCTAAAGATTGTCTAGACAGCAAAACTACAGAATTTTGACCTCCACATGCTTTTAATCTGAGGAGAGTGACAAGCATATTCTTGTTACTGAAAGAAGTTGTTACTGAAAAGAAAAATATATCTGTTATAATAAAATCCAAGTTACTTGCATATTCATTTTCTTACTTGCTATGATTTAAATAAAAGCCCATATTTTACTTAATTTTCTATCAAATTTTGCCAAGAATATCTGATTTTCTTATATGAACATTCATAATAAATAGTATTTAAATGCTTTCATGTTCCAACAAAATTAATTCTCACTCAAGTGAAGAGCATGCAAACTATCTATTTTACATGGATAACAAATTTATTTACAAAAACGAAAGTTAGAAGTTGATATTTTTATAGTCTACAGTTTTTAGAGATGGAAAATTTTTTTAATGGGAAGCTTAAACATTGTGTGTAGTTTTCATTGCTAATTCCTTTGTATTTATGTTTTTGTTTTTTTTTTGTTTTTTCTGGCTGTGTACACTCCAGCCTCCTTGGGTAACTGTTATTCTAGACTATTGTCAAATCTTATTCTGGGAAAATATGCACATAACTTTTGGTTTTTACATCTGTTTTTTGGTCTTACCCAACATCTGCACTGAACTTGTGACCTCCCATTAAGCTTTGCACACATTCAGATCATTCAGGCTATGCCTGTAATACCCAAAGTTCATTGCTTGCTCCCTCTTGATTATCAGTTTCCATGATCTATTAATGTTAATACTTGGTGTGTTTGAGTATAGTATGTGGGCAGATTCATTTAATCTTTGTATTGTCTACTGCTTCTCAGTGTTTCTCATGGACTCCACAAATCTTATGGAATGAGGTCAAAATAAATGGAGAAAAGCAGCAATTAGTAAGAAAACAGAAGAAACTTGCCCACAAACTCAGCTCAGATAACTCAATAAGCAAACTGATTATCTGTCAGAATGAAATTCAATAACATTACAGAACACAACAAGCACCCAAGGAGGGCTGCAGGATACATGTGAAAAAACCCCCAAAAAATAAGGAAATCAATCTGAAGAAAGCAACACTTTTGTTTAAGCTACTATAATAGTTTCATTTTTTAAATACTTCAACAAAATGTGTACTTAATTTTTATATTTATTGTGCTTTTATAAAATACTAGCAGTAGAGCCCGGCGTTGCCCTGGATATAACAGTAAGAGATAGATCAAGTATCCACCATTATAAAGACTGAAAAATAAAATTGACAAAGATTATTGTTTAAGGCTGATGGACACGCATGTCTTAATTAGTTTTTTTTTTTTTTTACGAATTGGTCAAACCCAAACTCAAACAAAAACATTGTTTTCAATCGTTATGAGTCTCCCGATTGAGACAATAAGCAAGACAATAAGAAACACTACATGCCAAAAAGAAAGTTTTGTTGAAATCGGTTGAAAACTGTAGGTAGCCTTTCTGTAATCTTTTAGTTTTACAATTTATGATTTTTACTTATTGAATACAGTAAAAAAAATTGCATATTTTGCTTGTGGTGATTCATAATTAGAATTCTGATTTGAATATATTTTCCACTCGTTGTTTCTAATACAAAATATATTAACTTTATTTGGGTTTATTAATTATGATCTAACAAATCTTATTCATTTAGTAGCCTTCTCTATAATATATAATAATCTTTTACAATTTATGATTTTTACTTATTGAATACAGTAAAAAAATTGGACACCATGTGTATTTAAAGTAGTTTCCCGTTCGGTTATTATTTTTAGTTAGGACTTGTGTATGTTTAGATTTCATTATCTTTCCCTAAAGATAAAGAATTTATCCGATGTTTGTATTCGTACAATCAGTATAGATCGTTAGATTATTGTTTAAGGTTGACGGACACGCATGTCTTAATTAATTTTTATTTTTTACGAATTGGTCAAACCCAAACAAAAACATTGTTTTCAATCGTTATGAGTCTCCCAATTGAATAGAATTTTATTATAAATAATTGTCTTGTAAATGGAATTTTTAAAGCATTCTGAATGTTAAAAATAAAGAAAAAAGTGTGCAAGAGAATAAGAAACACTACCTGCCAAAAAAAAAAAAAAAAATTGAGTTTTGTTTTATCAGCTGAAAAATATAGGAAATCCGATGTGAGTTGTCCCCTTTCCATTTTCACGATGTCTCTTAATCGTGTTTTCAAATTGATTTTGTGCAAAAACAATTATATTTTTCCCATTTTTGGTGCCGTTAGAACCACCACAAGGTAATTTTATGTAGTCCTGTGAAGTTTTGTTGAAATCGGTTGAAAAATGTAGGAAATCCGATCCAATATATAAACGTTACAGACACACACACACACACAATCTGCTTTTTATAATAAGATTTCACACTTGAATCTACTCTGGATGATAGATATTAGGTTTTTGGAAAAAAATCAATAAATTAATTTTATTTATAAATTATAAACAAAAAAACAAAAAAATCAAAAATAGTCACATTCTACCCTCCTCTACCAATCCTCCATCTAAATTTTCAACCAATTTTTATTTTTTTTTATTCAGAAAGCTAAGGTTGGCTGATAGAGAATTTCCATTCAAAAAATGGAAATTCTCTATCAGCCAACCTTATATTTTCTTGCAATGGGATCAGTGACACTTCTGCTGAAACCATCAGTTCCAGCAAATAAGAAATCATCCACATATGCATTACAAATATGCCTTGTAATTTCCCATTGTTATACCCTCTAGACATGGCTTTATCCAACTCAGATTGCTTACAACCCAGTCTAGTATGGTCATAATTTCCAAGGAAGTACCAATTTCGAGATGTTTCACCAAATTCGTATGCTGCTTTGTTTAGCTTCCATATCCCAACTTTTGCTTATCATTTATCACATTTACATAGTACTTATTTCTTCCAGTAGATTTTCCTCCTCTATTTATCACTTTTTGTATGAATTTTTGGTAAGTGGAATTTGATTCTTTCATTCACTTTAGGAATTCTTTGTCATACTCTGTTTTCATTTTGACTTTGTGACATGGATTCTCTCAGTTCTGACCCTTGTTTTTCCTGTCTCTGATCACCCTCTTTAACATACAACGCCAGAATAGTTTATTCTTCCAAACTGATTTCCTCCTCAACATCTTCATGCATGCCATTACTAATACTTTCTATATCCTATTTTTCTCTGAGATAATCAATATCTTTGTATTCATTAACTTTCTTTTGGTTCATTTCTAATTCTATACATTCTGTCTCATCTTATCACCCTACTCGGACTAACTGGCTCCCATACCTGATGAAAACTACCTTACCATCCTGGCTAATAATTCTACCTAGACTACGCCACCTGCAGTTGTCATCTCTCTCTTGTAAAACACACAATCCTCTGACAGAAATTGCTCTTTTGGGGCTCTGACATTGTTTTGATTCTTTCTGAAACTTCCCCTTTGATGAAAGCCCTCCTCCAGGCTGCATACAATACATTAAGATGCTTGATCACTGTATCCTTCATTTCTGCTTGTTCCAAGGCTGAAAGTTGATTCATCATAAGTGATGGTAAATTGGGGTGGTAGCGTAGCACAAAACAAACTGGGCTATATCCAAAATGATTTTGCAAACAATTGACTGCCCATGCAAAAGCAACATCTTCCTCCATTTTCTGCATACACACTTCTATAATATAATGGTTTCTCTTACATATAATATTTGACCATGATGAGTAGGCAGCATTGGAACAAACCTCCACATTGAATTGCTCAACTAGTTCTCTGTGGTCTTCATTGTTGAACTCACTCCCATTGTCAATTATAAATTTCTTCAGAGGCCCAAACCAGTGGCTATCCACTCTGTCACAACATAATCTATTATTACTTTAGTGATTTTTCTTTTAATGACTGTTTTTGCTGAATCGTGTGAAGAGATCAATTAAATACAGAAAGTACACATCCCTATATTGCTTTAAATCTATTGCTACTACATCAATGAATTGCTTAGCCAATGGAAGTAACATCACTGGTTGTACATGAGTCTTTTTGAATCTCCTACAGACTTCAAATTTTTGCTATCTTCAATCAGCTTATCAAAGTCCTCATCAAGTGCTGCATCTGCATTTTTCATGATTGCTTTCAGGATCTGAGCCCCTTTTCTTTACATGTTTTCTGTTTAGCCATAATCTCAAACTACCTTACATTCTTTCTGTAGAAAGTAATGTCCAGATTATGTATTTTTTCAAAGATATTTAATTAGGGGGGGGGGTTACCTTGGAAGACTGTTTTGCTTTGGTCTCAGCTAGGCAAAGCTACCATCCCCTCTAACTCATAGTCTAACAGAGCCTATCACACAATGTGGGTGAGAATGGGAATTCACAATATTCAATATTCACAATATTTTGGGGTGGACTCAGTATGTACTTCAAACACAATGATAAAAATGATAAAAGACAATAGTTTACACAACTTGACACAAAAATTTGCTGAATTTTTATCTAAATGCCTATCAACACACTGTCCCCATGGTTCTATGTACTGAATTGCAAGTAATATGATTCCCTAATAATGGACTGATCCTGTCTCACTACTATTATCATAAGTGTAAAAGTTATTCCTATTGTTTTAGCTGAGTTTAGTAATGTTACTCTTCTGGTCAAAACCAAAAGAAAATATAATTAAACCAAATCCCAATTAGAAAAGAAATATGTAAAACTCTGTTAAATAACACATATGTAATTACAGTTTGAAATGATGTTAGCTGTAGAGAAGACAAGAATCAATGACACAGCTGCTAAGTAGAGTTCAAAATTTCACTCACTAAAAAACAAAATGTATTCCAAGCTGTTGTCTACAATGGACAATCATCTGAAAAAATATTCTTAGATTTATGAATATATACCATTACTGATTGATAGCCTATTAAAATTTTATAAATCTATCAGTGCAATATTGCAATGTATTTGCCAAGAGAAATTAGTTTGAAAATGCAAAATACTAACCTTGTGTGCTGAATCTTCATATTGCTTCCGTTCTTTTTAGCTTCCAGACTGTCGCTGCTATCAAATATTGGTACAATCCCATGCTGAAAATAAAAAAGACCCAAATTATTACAATGCATCATCTATAGTAACATTTGAAAATACAGAACAGAAAAAGAATCAACTCCAGAAAGACACTTAACTCATTTGGCAATGCATTGTTCCAAAGTAATTACAAACAAACTACTTTGCAGACCATTACCTCTTTAGTGAGTTTAATCTTTCTTGAGTGCCCTCACACTTGTGGCATATTAGTGATATTTAAAATCGTTTTCCATGGCCAACACTGGAGGATGTTCATTATAAGCTATGTCAAATGCTGAAAATATTAAAATAGTTCTTAAATATTGTCTATCGTTTAGCTCATACATAATGTATCTTAAATAATATTACTGAGAAAAAAAAAATTCTCATTCAATGTTTATGACTGACTGGCAGACAAAAAAAAACAATTATTTTCTACCTGACCTCAGTTTAAAAAACAACTTTATGGCTTTATTCCATAAACTAGTATCCTCATTTTTATCTCAATTTTTTTGGCTCATATATTCTTTGGTCTTTATCAGGTATATGTTGAATATAAGTAGTCAGTACATTTTAGTTCCTGAAATAGGAACACATTTTTTTTTGATTATTGTTATTCACAGAAAATACAAAAGAAAAATTCATTTGGAATAAAAATGTAAATAAGTTCAAATAAATTTGAGAAATAAATTTTCATGCTAAATTAAACAATATTTGAAAATGGTTTTTAATCATTTGTGTTCCACTCCTTCCAAATCATTAAGTTAGTATAAATGGAAAAATTACTGAATTATTAGACTACTTGTTCAAATATAGTAGGGAGATAATTGGGATGTGCAGGAAGCATAATGGTTACTAGTGCTGAAAATGGAATCTCAAGACAAGTTCAAATTCCATTCTAGTTTGTTGTATTTACTTTAACACTGATGCACTTGTGAAAAGCATGAATCTGTCTCTTCTCTCTCCCCAACTATGGGTAAATAGCAGAACAGACTAGGTTCTTAAGCCCTGAATAGAAATCACTGTAGGAGAATAATTACTTTCAATTCCAAACCCTGGAAAAGTATTCCTATATCTTTCCTAAGAAGTCACAGCAATTCATAGATAATAGAGAAGTAGTAGAGAGGCATGATTACCTATGTCCTGAAGAAACAGACAATTATTCTCTTTGATTAAAACTACAGAATTAAAGAATTACAGAGAATTATTCTCTTTGATTAAAACTACATCTTCAATGAAGGAGAGTTTGAATTATTTAGATATTTATTGGAGAATTAGTACATTTTGATATAGACATTAAAAATCTAAAAGCAGTTGATTATGTATTTTCTCAGTTGATTGTATGTGAGGGAATAAATGTTTGACAAAAACTGAATTTAAGCATAATGAAAACTGCAAGTACAATCAATTTAAACATTAAATGAAATAACAATATCACATTCATATATGTTAGTAAATCTAAAATAAAAACTGTAACAAGTAAATGGTAAAGATTAACAGGTGTCTTTTTGGGAAAATGTTCAAAGAAAAACATAACTAATTCAGTTGTGTATAATGTATTTTACAAATGACAACTGAAAGAGACAAGCTCCTTTGTCAAGCTGTGAAAGTTTTATGGTAATGAGTACAACTGATTTGGTATTGGAGAGAGAATCTGAGGCATCTATGGTCATAAGTAATATTAGACATTGTTTTAAATTATCAAATTCAATACACAAAAAAATAATCAGAGAATTGCATTAACTTTCATCATGAACAAGAACAATTGCAAAGACAAATCAATTAGAAGAATATCAATAGTAATTTTAAGAGTTCTTCACAAGATATATGTTACAACAAAAGATGCTGTTAATGGTGGTAGGATGGCATGCAACATTGATTATATTCACCTTTTGAATTTCTAGAGTCAAATATAGTAAATATATAACTGTACACACTTTTTAATGTAAAGTATTGCAATCATTTAAATACCTTCTTTGAAGCTTGGTTTCAATTACAAGATAGTATAAAATATATAATAAAGTATATATAGTATAAAAAATGAAAATGCTTAAGACTGCTTTTCAATATCATTTTAAAATTTTCTTTATTTCACAAGCTAGAAACCTAATGTAAAAACTTTCCAAACAAATAAAATTTTAATTTTATTGTAGTTTTTACTTTCTGATTCCAAGCAGAAGTGTTTAATTTCATGTTGAAGTTTTTAATAAAATTTCAGCTGATTTAATTTCTTCAAGATCTTTACAAAAATGTAAATATTTCTAATGTCCACATGACATTGAAATTTCATCAAAATAAGTAGAAATGTAGGTGATTAACTTAAATAATTTCCACAAATTCTTACAATATTCCCTTTTCATAAATAAATTCCAAAATGAATAAGTAGTGAATCTATTACTGAAACCAAATATTTAGCTGATAGCTTACCTACAAATGTTCTATGGTGTTTCTATGTTTTAAAGTGTAAACAAATATTTAAAGACAAATCTCCAATTTACAAATTTTGGGTATTTTTATTGAGACATGTTGCCTCATCTTTAAAAATGCATGGAAGTACCTGTTAGTAATGAACTAAAAAATATTAAGCAAGCCATTGCTCATTTGCTTGAATTATGAAGTTCAATAAAATCAGTTAACAATTGCAAACAAATGATGTGAAATCAGTTGTCTTCACATTCCTTATGGAAGTGCAATATTGATGGTCAATAACCCTTTCAGTTTCTGAATTAGAGAAAGAAAACAAATTAGCAGTTGCACTCATCAAGCATATTAAGTGGGGAGATTTAGGTAACTGACACATAAATAGATTATTAATAAACTCAAAATCTGGAACACAAGTTAGAATCAAAGTTAATGAGAAACAGTGTTTTTTTTTTATTTTGTGACACTATATAAAGAAATAATTAGTGAAAGCGCAAATAGCAAAAGAAAATGTAAAGTCAAAAAGAAAATTTAATAAAAAGGAATCTGAAAAGAAATTGAAAATAATCTGTAAGAACAGTACAAGTAGACAATACAGAGAATTGTGAAAGACATTCAAAGGGGAGATGAAAAGTATAGGTATGTCATTTACATTCCAATATTAAAGTGAGGCAGTCAAATTTGTCAGGATCGTTATTTGGAGAATGTGATCATTTTGGGATGAATGAAAGAAATATATTCTCTGCATAAGCTGGAAATATGCATATAAATGGAATAAAAACAAAACAGAGTACATATACAGGAACAAAGGTAGATTAATACAAATCCTTTTTATTTTTTTGCTTTGTGACAAGAAGAGTTATACAATTGAATGGTTTTTGTTACACTGCAAAATATAAATACAACTGTCTTGAAAAAACAAAACGATAAAATGTTGCTTACATTATTATCAAAGACAAAAAAAAGATATATTCAAGTGGACACAGATCAATAGATTGAATAAATTAATTATATATATTTACTAAAGGACAGATTGTAAAAGTGAATAAAAATGTGCAGGTGCAACAAATGATATGCATAAATGGATGAACTAACAAATAACATTAACAACCAAGAGATGCTGTTAAGTTATACACATGTTTATTTGCAGATGTAGTAACTAACGATGCAGTAGAAAATAATAAAAATAAAAATCCAGATATGCAGCTTGACATTTTTTAATTTAAAAAAGATCCCTACTTTTCAATAGACAGCAAGCCAAAGAAAGAGTAATGATCTGTTTCTGGCCTTTAAGAATCCTAACAGACATATGAAGCAAATATTATGATCACAATATAAAAGAGTGATAATCACTTAAAAACTTACTAACTGGGATCAAGACATCTGTTTTAAATGAAACAACAAATTCATTACCTGTATGACAATTCAATCAAAGCATGTGGTAAATAGTGACAGTTAAACAGACATAAACACAGTAAGAATGAAGTCTGAAAAAAAAAACAAAAAAAAAACGGCACAATAAAACCATTTTTGGCTAATATTAACATTTTTACTAATAATACACATATGATGAAACGTAAACGTACACCACTTCTATGATTTTTTTAGTATAATAAGAAAGACCTGATCACAGTTGAGTAGTAGATGAAACTGATCTAAGATGCAAATGAATTCAATATTAACATACTATGTTCACAGTGGAGCAATTTTTAACAAAAATCAATATTTTACGAATTAGAGAGCAAATACTTGGTTTGTCGATCGCTTGTTATTGTTGGAGAAAAAGTAAAACGTACAACAATGTGTGAATTAAATTTGAAGATCTATGACAAAGGAAAGTCTTTAAAACTCAATTGATAATTATTGTATCAACAAAATTTTTAATATCATTGCTACTTGGGTCAAGTTTACTACTTTCATAATGATAGATGAACTAAATATTGCAAAAAAAAAAAAAAAAAAAAAAAAAAAAAAATAAAACAGAGGGGAGACACTGAACAGCTGATCAACACATTCCAACAAATAGTGGCGTAACTCAGGCGGGACAAGTGGGACGCGCGCCCAAGACACCATTTAACCTTTAAGATTACGTATTACGTCTCAAAATAGATGCAACAAATTAAAAAAGTATACTATACCACTTGGGGGAGAAGAGATACTGTCTTGTTTATAGAGATCATATTTGTCAACAAGAGCAGGAAGAGATTGTTTTCTTAAATATAACGAAGATTGCTAATAAACTGGAGATAGAAACGAAATGTCTCAGTCGTAAATAAAATGAAATGGGAGTAGTGACGCATAGAAGTTAGGCCTATTTCTCCTTTCGTCCGTTTTCTACGAGATGCGCGCTGATTTTTAAAGAAATTGCGGGCATTTGCTCTGCATAGTTTTGTTGTAGTAGTAGTAAGTAGCAGCATAAAATAGTGTTTAGCTTCTTTTTCGCTTTCTTTTTTTCATTCTCCTCATTCTGCTTGTTCTTAAAGATTTTTTTAAAAATCTCTTTTTTATAAAATAAGAACTAAATTAAATAACTTTTTAAATTTTCGACATTTTTGTTTAGCAGAAATTGAACAAACATTTCACTTTTCTCTCAAATCTG